TGGAGGATGTGCATCGATTGTCGAGCCGTAAATGCCATAACGGTAAAGTATCAACACCCTATCCCTCATTTAGATGATATGCTAGATGAATTACATGGGTCAAAATACTTCTCTAAAATTGATTTGAAAAGTGGATATCATCATATTAGAATGAGGGAAGGTGACGAATGAAAAACTGCATTTAAAACTACATTCGGCTAATATGAGTGGTTAGTCATGCCTTTTGGCCTTACGAATGCTCCAAGTACGTTTATGCGGTTAATGAATCATGTATTTTTATGTACTTTCATAGGAAAGTTTGTTATGGTTCACTTTGATGATATTCTCATCTATAGTAAATCAATGGAAGAACATGTAGAGCATATTCGTAGTGTTTTGGAAGTGTTAAGAGCTGAAAAGCTTTATGCTAACCCGAAAAAATGCGACTTTTGTGTCGAGAATTGTATTTTTCTTGGTTTTGTTGTGGATGCTGAAGGGATAAGTGTGGATGAAGCTTAAATACAAGCTATTCGGGATTGGCCAACACCTAAAATGATCAAGGAAGTTCGTAGTTTCCTTGGACTTGCAAGCTTTTACCGCCGCTTTGTGCGAGATTTTAGCTCCACTGCAGTACCACTGACTGAGCTTACAAAGAAAAATAAACACTTTGACTAGGGAGTTTCTGAACAAGCATCTCTCGATTTGCCTAAGAAAAAACTTACTAATGTTCTTGTTTTAGCTCTACCGGATTTCACTAAGCCATTTGAATTGAAATGTGATGCCTCAGGAACTGGGATTAGAGCTGTCTTGATGCAAGGAAAGAAGCCGATTACGTACTTCAGCGAGAAGTTGAGTGGGGCTGCCCTCAACTATTCGACTTATGACCGAGAATTGTACTCGTTGGTTCGTGCATGCAAGATGGGTAGCATTCGTGGACATATTTCCTTACTCGATTCAGTACAAGAAATGAAAGGATAATGTTGTAGCTGATGCACTATCAAGGAGGTACGGGTTGCTAACCTTGTTAGAATCTAAGCTTATGAGATTTGCATTCATAAAAGATATTTATGTGAATAATGTTGATTTTTTTGATATCTTTGCAAAATGTGCTACGCATAGCTTTCGTGATTATTATTTGCACGATGGATATTTGTTTCGTGTGAATCGTTTGTGTGTACCTAGGAGTTCACTTCGTGATGTGTTAGTGGTTGAGGCACATGAGGGAGGTTTGATGGGTCATTTTGGGCATGATAAGACATTGGTGCATTGCATGCACACTATTATTGACCTAAAATGAAGCATGGCGTGAAGTCTTATGTGAATAAACGTGTTGTTTGTAAGATTACAAAGTCACATGCACAACCACATGGTCTATACATACCGTTACCTATTCCAGAAGCGCCATGGACTGATATTTCAATGGATTTTGTTATGGGATTGCCTAGGTCCATGAGATGAAATGATTCAATTTTTGTCGTGGTTGATAGATTTTCAAAAATGGCACACTTCATTGCATGTAAGAAAACCAATTATGTGTCTCATGTTGCAAATCTATTCTTTTATAATGCTTTGAAATTGCATGGTATTGCATGTAAGAAAACCAATTATGTGTCTCATGTTGCAAATCTATTCTTTTATAATGCTTTGAAATTGCATGGTGTTCCTAAGGCAATTGTGTCGGACAGAGATACAAAGTTTCTTAGTTACTTTTGGAAGACACTTTGGGCTAAATTGGGAACTAAGTTGCTATTTTCTACATCTCATCATCCCAAACGGATGGTCAAACTGAAATAGTGAATAGAACCTTAGGGAACTTACTTCGTGTCTTGGTAAAAAAAAATTGGAACAGTTGGGAATAATGTTTGCCTCATGTTGAATTTGCATATAATTGGACATTGCATTCATCAACACACATGTTTCCTTTTGAGGTTGTTTATGGATTTAATCCTCTAACACTTTTGGATATGTTACCATTGCCTAGCAATGAGTATTTTAATAACGATGGCAGGAAACAGGCTGAATTTTTTAAGGAAATGCATTCAAAGGTTCGGGATAATATTACAAAGTCAAATGCTCGATATGTTAAAAGTGCTAACAAATGTCGTAAGCATGTAGTGTTCCAACCAGGCAATTGGGTGTGGTATAATTTGAGCCCAAGAGAAGATGGGCCATTCCAAGATGTGGAACGCATCAATGACAATGCCTATCATATTGAGCTACCGGGTGAGTACCAAGTTCATGGCACATTCAGTGTTGCTGACTTAAGTCCTTTTGATGTAGGAGATGAACAGACTATGAAAATGGGGGACTCATTTTTTCAAGAAGGGGGGGATGACGAGGTCGTCAAAAACGATGATGAACCTGCACTACCACCAGGTCTGATTACTCGAAACCGTGCCAAGAAGTTTCAAACTAATATTATGGCATTAGATCTACACTTGGAAGAGGAGAACATGCATAAAGTGGAAGCATGAAGGCCAATAGGAAGTGCATTGTCAACATTGGAGTGCATCTATGATCCATGTACTTCACTCATTTGAAGACCACAATTTATAATATCTATGGGAGTTGCTACTTACATATTATCTCATGTGGAATAAAAGATGTTCAATTTTATTTAATAAGGTGGGACCCTTTTAATATAATTAATTGGACCTTTATTAGTTATTTAATTAGTGGGCTTTAAATAATGTATATTTTTGTCCTACATTGGTTGTAGAGTTTTCTGCCAAGGTAGCCTCCCCTATAAATAAGGCATTTGGTTTCACTTGTAAGACACCTTGAAACTTATATCAAGTAAAGTGTTTCTCTTTATTCCATTATATTAGAATTAGTGTGTGAGCGAGAGTTACCCTTGCATACGCGCGTATCATTTTCAAATCGGGTCATTGGGTTGATTCTTTGGGTTCGTGGCTTCCGAAATCAACCGGAGTTTCTAGCCAAATCATTCGAGTCTCCATGGTTTAGAGGTGTTGGGTCTAGGCAATGCTTGGGTTCACATCCAATCGATTGACGAATCGGACACCGGTACTATCTCTCTTTATTTGCTTAGTTTTCATTCGAATTTAGTTTTAAGTTTCGATTAGTATACCTTAATTACTAGGGCTGCATCAGGGACACATAAAAATTTAATACTTCAATACAAAATATTACTCCCTATGTCCAACATTGGATATCTGGGTGACTGTAGATACGAAAATTTAGGATAAGTATAATTAGTAGATAATTAAGAACGTATTAGTAAAAATAATTATCCTATAATATAAATACTTATAGATTAAGATTAAGATAACTATTTAGTTTAATTAAAATTAAAAAAAAATTAGAAAATTTAAAATGAGATTAAAGTGTATAATCATTTTCCAAAGAAAAAGAAAAGTAACATGGGATGTGGGACGGATAGAAATGGCAATGTGGACATGGTAGATGGGATAAACAGAAACTACAATGTGGACATGATAAGTGGGACGAAGGGAATATTATTTATATTATCGACACACTTTCAAATACCTAATATAAAAATACCTCAAACTAAACAAATAGCGCATTGAATTACTAAAGATTCCATTGTTATTAAATTTGTTAATTTTTTCTCTTTTATAAAGTGGTATAATTGAAAGAGACAATCAAAATAAAAAATTTTTCGTAATTTGATAGAGAGAGAGTATTATTGTTGTTTGGGTTACTGGATATTTTATGTAGTTGTTTATTTGCTACTTGACAAAGTTGTAAGGGAAACAAACATATGTTGCTGTTTTTGGTGTGTCATAGAGAGTCGTTGGATCGAATTTATTTTGTAGGTTTGATTAAGAATTTCGTATTTGATATAAAAAAGAATAGGATTTAAGTCAGTTGTCGCGAGATTGATTTCGTAACAAACACCAATGTAATTGAGTTATTTTTTAAGTGTGATGAAAAGTTTATTTCATGCACAAGTAGTATTTGTATTGTACTTTTTGTTACATAATAATTTCATAACAAATAAGATTTAACATTTTGTTGTGTAGCCGAAATCATAACAAAGTGACTTTAATAGGTGTTGATCATCAATGTTTTATTACAAAAATTTGACGCAACAAAAAACTCTTTATTACTCATTTTTTCTATATCGGTCAAAATCCGCAAAAAATCAACACAAATGACTATTTTACACAAAAATTGAGTATTTCTATCGGTTTACTAAATGCTGCAAATAGTTAGATTTCTAATATTGTATCTTCTCTCTTATACAAATTTTTAAATTTATAAATAATATCTAAATTTTTTACATATATATTTTAGAATAACTTTTTTTTTATAATATTTTAAATATCATACCAATTTATTGATTAATTAACTTAATAACTAATTAACTATAAATGTTATCAATAGTATATAATTTACTCTAAATATTAATTAAAAAACTAAAAATATATAGAAATAAATTATTTTCATAAATTATAATTTATATAATTAATCGACAAAATATTATTATGGATGGAAGTCCTTCAAATATAGATCAATTCTGATGAAACTAACTTTGAGAGAATGATTCAATCAAAGAATTATTCCTGAAAAAAAAAAAAATGATTATTAGTAGTCTCTCTCTATGATTGAAATATTTCATGGTACCCACTTTTGGTAGCCTCACTAGTATTTAATGATCATATGACACAAACAATTCTTCGTATCTTCACTATTGTATCTCTTGTTCTATCCTTACTTCCTATACATACTACTAATTTGAATATCACATCACTCATTCTGGATTTGTATATCTACCATCTATATACATGTTCTTGAATCTTACTGTGTGTGTATTTCAGTTAAGCCTGAATTTTGTACCATTCAGTTAATTACAACTTATAAGCTATACCTACGAAACAATAATAATAAATAAATGAGGCGAGAATGAAATAAAATTAAGATTTGAAAGATATTAATCTACAGATTTTGTATTATTGGATCGCCTGATGGACTGATTATTAAAGATGATGCCATGAATCAATCATCTGAGTAATTAATTTTGAACCAAGTGAACGTTAGCGCCAAACAGAACGGAAAATTAATAACAATAATAATAATCCAATCCAATCCAACAAACATGAATGAATTGAGTTTGGGCGGAATGAAATAAGGTAGGTAGGTAGGTAGGTAGGTAGTGTACAAACGAAACGAATAAAGACACCAATTTGCTTCATAGTTAGTACACAAGAAGGAAGAATCAGAGATCCTGCTCGCTCCATCTTGCCCATCATTTTTATCCAACTCTGTTCAACACTCGCATCCGCCTGATCTTTGCTGACTTCTGCTACTCACATCAATCGTCTCCGGAAGGTAGCTTACATTTCCAACAAAAAACGTGAGCACGGACAAACTGGTTCGTGTTTTATAGGATCAACCACAGTAGACAAAAAATAAAGTAAAATTTCGCATGCAAATATTATTCTAGCAAAATTGCATGCAATTCACTTGTGTTTGAATAATTAGCACCACACTCCCTCAAGATTGCACATCCCCTAAAAAAGGATTTGTACAATATTTTTAAATCACGGGGAGAATGGTATAAACTTTTCAAACTAATTGCGTCTATTATTCTTCGCTATGATGATAGTAGGGAACAACCTAGCACGTACTGAACAATTTTGAGAAATATCGTGCACAACTAATTTGGTTGGCAGAAGAAAGAGTGAGTATACGCACAAATACACTTGTATGGAAGTTCCATGTTATGTTGCCAACGAGAATGGCATGAGAGAAGAGATTCGCATATGGTACCAGGGAAATTTTCAAGTAAAAAAGATGATGCAGGGTGGGTGTGATGATACTCACATTTCTTCTTCTTCTTCACCGCTCTTCAAGGCATTGCTAGCAATGACCTGAAAAGCTTCTTCGACATTGGTGCCTTCCTTGGCAGAAGTTTCAAAGTAAGGAATATTCCCTTTTGAGGCACACCATGCCCGTGCCTTTTTCTCAGATACCTGAGGCAAAACAAACAAAGTGTGAATACATACCCAACAACAGTAGGAAACCAAAGTGCATAGACAAATAAATTACAAATCTATAGTAAAGTGAAAAACTGTCATTGTTCATCATTATATGAGAATTGAATGTAAATCCAAATGGACAGTGGACGTGCTCGCTTGTGAATCACAATAAAGTAAGTTTTCTTTTGACAAACTTCCCTAAATTTCTTTTCTTTTGACAAACTTCCCTAAATTTCTATTATTCATCAAATTTCTCCTAAAAAACATCAAATCAAATACTTATTTTTTATTTTTTAAAATATACTAAAAATTAAATCTACATTCAAAACATCACATCAACACCTATTTATATCACATCATACAACTATTCCAATTCAAAAATTTTATACATCAAGTGTTTGAATAATAGCATAACAATAAGAAACAGAACACAGCGGGAAGGTAGCCAAATAGAATCATGGCAGGAAAGCCTATGATATACAAATGCCGAGAGGGGATATTACCACTCTACTATTTCCACCATCCACGTCAACCTTGTTGCCAATCACGATGAATGGAAAATTTTCAGGATCTGACGGGCTAGCCTGGAGTGAGATTTAAGTGTCATTAGTATATCTCTGCTGGTCCCCTTCTCACAATCATATGATTGATAATTGAAACAGAATATAATAAAAATTCTTTCCTTTTATAAAGAATATCCAACACTGCATACATGAATCAATATATAATGGTGATGTAGAGATTCAAGTGACATTATGACTATTTGAGTGCTCAACTTTTATCTTTATTTTATATATGCTCTATCATGGAAACAACCAGCTTCATGCTCCTCTCCTACAAGCAACTAATGAAGAAACAATAACAACCCATATTTGAAACTGCACTAGTTCAACATGACTTTACCATAGGGTAATTAAACACCCTACTTTTCTTCATACAGAATGAGGTGATATGTAAATCATATAGCATAACAAAGCAACATGATTAGGAAATATCATCAAAAGATCTAACTGAGCATGGTATGTTCATGTTCTGTTGAAAGACGTAAACATGATAAAATTAGCACTAATGCATTGAATCTTATTTCAGTAATGTTTACTTTGAGTTAAGAAGACAATCCAATGCTAAAACTAGCAGTAGTATTAGTTGGAATGTTAGCAAATAAAGTCATAACCATTAAGAGTTAATTTCAGGTATTTAGAAGAAGGAGGTACAAGGAAAACAAGAGAATACAACGAACAAAATTATTCCATAACTATTAGTTCTATATGTTCAAAAAGGATTTTACCATTCATAATCATAAATATTCCATTATGATGTTGGGCTTATTTGTTTATTTTTTATTAGTAACATTGTCTAAATTATATTGAGTAGAAACATAAATCTCAATCATCCGAAGTGCAACAATTAGGACTGTAAGAGACCACCATGCACACCTGCAGTAAAAACTCCTCCCTCCAGTTGTTAAGATTATCGAATGATTTCATCATATTGACATCATAGACAAGAACACAGCAATCAGCACCACGGTAGAAAGCAACCCCCAGGCTCTGAAATCTCTCCTGCCCAGCTGTATCCCATATCTACTTAAGCAAAATATCATCGGTGAGTGAGTAGCATATGAATTCATTACCATGTAAAGTATTGCACACAAAAATACAGTGAGTTCTAAGAACAGTACACAGCCTCCGCATCATTTCCCTACTGCTATAAGACAAAAACAGCTATATCTTAAATCAAGCTAAAGAGAAAACGAGAGAAACCCTGTCATCAAATAAAGACATACAGAGGGTACTTCAGCAAAATATCAATCCATGTGTCATGCCATAGGAAACCAAAAACTTGGAGAAATCAATCCATGCTAAACTCAAGAATATTTATGCACAGAAGGAGTACATTACAGCATGATAACTAAATCCATAAGCACCATAACGTATGGCAGAACATTGCAGTCCTAAGGAAATAAACGAAGCCAACCCTACCTGTAAAGTGAAAATCCGATCCTCAAACTGCACTTCCTTTGTCAGGAAATCTGCCCCAATTGTCGCCTTGTACTGCGCGCTAAACTTCTTATTCACATATCTTTAGTCAAAAAATCAAGGAAACATTAAAGGAACAAGAAACACACTTTACAATAAACGAATTTTTAGTGAGGATACTGGTTCATCAATGAGGTCTTGCCCACCCTGCAATTCACCAACCAAAATTGGAAAAAATCACCAAACATTTGTGAATCAATAAAAAATCTAAATCCAAAGCACAAGACGAGTATTTGGATAAAAATACTAATTGAGCAGATCAATCAACTTATTTGGCTTTCTTTTTAGAGCATCAAATTCAAGTCGCACAAGACCTACCGAACAAAAATTTTGAAATCCTCTGAACCTAAAAATTTTAAAGCGAAAACAAAAGCCGGTCCGAACTGAATCGAATACCAAATTTAAGTACGAACACAAAATTAAAGCAGGAAAAGAGCACGGACCCGCTGTCGCCGAGGATGATGACCTTGAGGAGAGCTCTTCTGCGGGATGGCATCCTTACGGGTGGGTTCGGGCTGACCCGATATGAATTCTCGCAGAATAGAGATTTCTCCCTCTCTATCTCTCTCTCTCTCTCTCTCTCTCTCTCTCTCTCTCTCTCTCTCTCAAATTGAATTGAGGATGGGCTTGGCTCGTTCGTTGCTGCTGCTGCTGCTCCTGCAGGTGTTACTCTCAGAGCCAGCGAAGCGAAGCAGGTCTTATTGGGGGCTCCCAGTTCAGCATCTAAATTGTTGGTGCGATCCTGGGAGCTGGGCTCCCGTATGATTCGATGCAATTAGTTGGGGTTTGATTAGATTTAAAGATATTTGCGGATAATTTTGTCATTTTGAAAATAATAATAATAATAATAAATAAAGTAGAATTTTATAAATAAGAATTACTACTAGTATTATTTATGGGAATATTAATGTTAACTTTGAAAATTTAAAAAATAAAAAGTAAATTTTCAATTATTATTCAAATTTAATTGTTTGAACTTTAAGGAAAAATCTCATAAGGCTGAGATTAAAAGTGTGATATAAAGTTTGTTGGATTTTATTCGACTTTCTAAAATATTGTTGTACTTAATTCAAGTTTTAAAAAGTTTTAAAAATAAATATGGTGTGTGCGGTCCAAATTTTTAATTTTTTTTTTTTAAAATTTAGATGTATTCTATTCAAATTTTAAAAAGTTTTTAGTGTATTTAACAATATATCAATTTTGTTGAATTCTTTAATAAAATTATTAACAAATTACACTATATAGAATATTTGATTATAAGATGAGATTTCAGTATATTTTCAAAATATAAAAAAAATATACTTGTGTTATTTTATTTATATCATTAATAACTATTTATTATTTTATATGTATTTATTATTTAATTATAATAATATCAATATGATACAAAAGTAAGATGTAAATATAAAAATTACAAATACTTTAAAATTTTATATATTTGAAATTGTACCCACTCAAAAATTAAATGGACCAGTTCAGTGAAAATGCAGCCCAAAAAACGAGGTGACCTCCGGGCGTAGAGCCATCTACGGCAGGGGTGAGTATTGGTCGGTTCAAACCAAGAAAATCGAATTTTTTTTCGGTTTGGACTGTTCGGTTAATTAGTTCGGTTCGGTCCAAAATCATATTCATAAATTTCGATTTTGGTTCGGTTATGATTTTCAATTTTTAATTTTGATTAACCGAAAAAATCGCAACTTTTAAAAATGATAAAAAAAAATTATATATTAATAAATAATATATATTATGATTTTGAGTATTTTGATTTAATTATATATTAAAAATATATATTAATAAATAAAAGTTCGGTTTCTTTGGTTTCTTTGGTTTGGTTTATTTGGTTTTGAAAAACTTTGGTTGGATTTCAGTTTCAATTTCTATAAACCGAAAACCGATCAAAATTAAAAGTTCGGTTCGGTTTGAACCGAACCAACCGAATTCACACCTCTAATCCACGGTCCGACATCCAACTATGGCTGGCCAGATCGACGAGCGAGCCTGGTGACTTGCCTGGGCGATTGTGTAGGAAGACCAAGCTGGAAGTGCAGACAACGTTGAAGGTGAAGATGCACAGATCAGTCTCTGCAGTTGAAGGCCCGAATGTAATGAAATCCAGCAGAGTTAGCCCAACATTTGCAGCGGCTAGGAGCTTAGAAATGATCCAGAGGCCCAAGGACCCAACTGGGTTGGCCCAGTCCAAGCAGCAATCGAGAAGGTGGCCTGCAGACTTATCCAGCAAATGAGAGGAAGGTTGTTAAAGTGGTTAGAGAAAAAAGTGGAATAATATTTTAACCAAAAAGAATTCAAAAATTAACAATAAAATTGGAGATCATTGCAGATCAGATAAGACACACCCATTCATTATGAATCTTCTTTCTTTTTTCATAAATTTTCTCTACATTATTTTTTTTGTATTTTTTCCAGATTTTTTACAGCTTTTTTTTCATTAATTCCAATTTCTTTTTTCAACTTTGTTCTTATTTTCACTACAAAAAAATAATATATTTGTAACAGAATTCCGTCCCTAAAGTTCACGTAGCTAACGTAATTTCATTCCTAATTCCGTCTCTAATGTCATTAGTAACGGAAAAAATAGATTTAGAGACACAAATATTTTGTTACAAAAATGATTTTTTCTTGTAGTGTTTATTAGCCTTAATTTTACCTTCCTTTTACATTAATTATTTAGATATCGCGAAATAGCCCAGATCTTTTCTTGAGGAGGCCGGGGAACCCTTCAAAGAAATCAATTCCGACAGGCTTTTCCGATTAAGCCGTCAGTGGCGATTTTATACGACAACATAATTGGCACGCCCGGTGAGACACCAACGTCTCAACTTTTGCATGCAACTTTATAAGAGAATTGATGTTGCCAACGATTGCAGAGATGTTTAAAAACAAAGAAATCGTCAGCGATTCGTCATCCCGCCCTGCATCTGAAATTTTTCCACATTATGAGGCGTCCACAGCTGCTGGAAGGTTGGATCAGATTATCAACCTTCCTGTCAGCTTACTTCAAGAGCAAATTCGTAAGGAAATTCGGTCATCCCTTCACGGATCCACTCTGGATCTATCTCGGTACATTACCGAAGTTCTGAAACCCACCATCTAGAACGAATTTGCGCTACTTCTAGAGGAAGAAACTCAAAAAAGCAAGGCCCAGAAGGTAGATTCCAGCAAGCCCGATATTTGGCCTCCGTGGGCCTTACAACCAGCTTCACAGCAGATCCGGCCTCCTAGGTACTTAAGTATGTCCATGTTACTCTATTCAGTAGGGGTGCCGGATCTAGAGAACCTCCAATCACCACCCAGAAAGTCAGAAAATCTCGGGCGTCATCCGGGCAGGCTTCCTTTGGGCCGCCTTCAACCGATGGATTTTGGATGACCTTCGGGTTAGTCCCATCAGTACCACATGGGCACAATAATCTTTTATTTTCTGGAACCACTTTCAGTATCCTAGTCCCCACTCCAGGCCTTCGAAGAAACTCAATGGTCAGACAAGAAACCTCCAATGCATAGGGGGCAGGGCCGACAGCGATTCCAACACCTTCCTTGGTCCCAAAGCCATTTGGAATGACTTGGGAACCAGGGGGACTAGTCCTAACACCATCCCAATATACTGGGGGGCAAAGAGCTGTTGGGGAAGGTCGATTTGCTGCTGGTTCCGGGCTGTAATAAACCTACGAATATCTTGCCCAACCAGTCCTAAAAAATACACCATTGTAGCAGGTTTCAGTCTTTAGAGAACCCACAGAAGGCTCCCGAGTTCGTTTCCCACAACGGGGACCTACTCATCAAGTCTTCCCGCTGTCGGCGTTACGCAATCCATCGTCCGTTCAAGCAGCTTCCAAACAACTTGGGGGGTAGGTAGAGATGGCTCCACTGCCACATCCCATCATAAATCCATAGGTAATCGAAGATGTGACTCATAGGATGTATGGGGATCGGAGAAGCAATGGTTTGGTCGAGCAGTTTTTGGAACAAAACTAGATAAGAAGTTCGTGTACCAGAGGACCATGTGGTGAATGTGGCGATAAATAACATGATGCATCAGCTGCGTGATATGCTGGCTCTCAAGGAGTGTCACGAATTTCGGTAGCAGATGTCCAAAGCTGTGACGGTCGAACAGCCCTTGAAAAAAACTCAAATGACCCGAAATTAGAAGTTTCAGAGTGGAAATCATGGTGTCTTTGCCCAATAAGAGGCTTCCGAGGTCGAGAAGGAGCAAGAGAAGACCTTCTTGGTTGAAATTTTGTAGGGAAACGAATATACATGCCCGGCTCTTAAGCCGCCCCGATGAAATGAGGTAAATCTGAAGGTATCTTACTCTTTCGACATTGTGAAGACAGAGCAAATTTTTGACTACCTGCTGAAAGACAACCAGCTCTGCCTCAAAGAAGGTCACAAAATGCCAACCGAAGAAGAGTTAAAAGGAAAATTGTTATGTAAATGGCATGGTGTATATAGCCATCAGGTCGGGAACTGCATTGCCTTCCGAAATGCAGTCTAGAAAGCCATCAAAGAAGGCTGTCTCAAGTTGGCCGAAAAGCCTGATGTGAAAGTAGACATGGAGCCGTCCCCTGCGCCAATAAAACTTGTTAGAATGCGTCCAACCAGGTCCAAAAAGTCAAATTCAGGGTTTAGAGCAGAAGGTAGGGGAGCACGCTTTAAAAAACTAGTGTTTGAAAGGCATGAAAGGTTGATCAAACCTCCGAGGAGGAGTTCAGTGTAAGATAAACTTTCCCCCACGAACATGGTCGCGGAAGTAAGTTTCGAAAATGGAGGTGAGATTCGGCAAGTAACCTTTGTGGATCAGGTGGTAATCACACCCCATCAGACCTGCCTTCCCGGGAACGCTCCAGACAACGAAAGCTGGACAATGAACTGGAAGAAGCAGGTGACGCGACTTTCTACTAGGACTCAAAAGAGGAGAATGCAACTAACAACGCTTGGCCACTCGCCTTTCCCAGGAGAACCAGGCTGAGGGGTAGCAGGCTCGGGACTCAGAAGGAGCTTTCGCTGGAAGGCCGAAGCTTGGTCGAGAGGACCTTCGTCGCTAGCTTCAAGCCCGAAAGGAATGGAGACCAAAAGGAGTTTTTGCAAGGATTGAATACCCTACCAAACCTTATTTTACTGTAACACTCGGGGAGGACCACATTCCTGAGGGTGAGCCGATGACAGGTGCTCTTGATTGCGATGAGGCGTCGGAGGCTAGCTTAGATATCATTGCTTCCGACCAAGACCTTAAACGACCTTCGCGCTATAAAGGAGACCTCAAGGTTAATACAATAGGTGTGTTACCTCTAGAATTTGAAGCTCCTCCCGTCCAGCCTGACTATCTACAGGGATATGTTTTGTTGGAATGAGCTGGTTCCTTATGTTGGGTGGAGCAAAAGGCCGACATTCAAAAAGGAGTTTTAGAACCAGTGGTCTTCCAGAAATTAACAGATGAAAGTACGCATCATTTGAAGCCTTTGTTCCTTACCGTATATCTCGATGGGCGGATGGTCAGCAAGGTCTTAGTCGATGAAGGGGCATCCGTCAATGTCATGACCTTGTCTACCCTAAGAAAGATCGGGAAAAATAGAAAAAATCTTGTCCCGGCAACCATGCGAATGACCGACTTAATTGGAAACATACATACGGCAGCAGACATGTTGGTGGCAAAAGTGATGGTCGGAACAAGGACATACTA